TTGTACTTATTTTTGTACTTTGTTCTATTTAGTGGTTATTTTTCTGTTTCCTCCTTTTTGTGATATCAAAAGGGGGAACAATGTTAGTGTTGTATCATTTACTTATTTTAGTAAAATTTTCTTTACTTTATTTATATTGTTCTCATTTATTTTATGTTTCATTTTTTTAATAAATTAAAAAGAAAAAAAAATTATGATTTAAAATTTTCCAACAATAATGTTTGCCATCATAAAAAAAATGGGAGATTATTGCAGATATGGACCCAAGTACTGTGATTTTGATGATAAAGAATATTATTATTCCTTGACTACTACCATTCATGCATATCTATTTTATGTGCTCAACTCACTAATCTTTTAGGTCCATAAGTTTGCTTGAAACATAAATCAGCTCAAGATCAAGTAAACTAGGATTGAGTTAGTCTATAATTTCTATTTCAATGCATTTTTTATCTTTTCTTGAGTCAAATATACCTTGGTGGATCCTGAAGCCAAGTAACATTGCACACACACACTCAAGAGACAAAATTTAGCGAGTTAGAGTTTTTCTATTTTTGATCATATCATATAAGACGATTAGTAAAAAAAAAACCCTAATTATGTCATCTTGGTCATATAAACTTGCTTAAGCAAATCATTCTGTACGATATGCTCAAATCAAAGATACTCAACTGCTAAACTCATTTAGGCAAGATTTTATTTTTAGAATTTTGTTCTAATTGTATAGGACGATCCCATATCTTCCTGGACGAATCATGCCTAAATTAGTCAGGTGATTAAGGAAAGTTATTAAAATTAGATTGATCGATTATATTATCCCGGATGATCGCAAAAAAGTCTTGGACGATTAGTAAGAAAAACCTTAGTCTTCTCCTGAATCTCTTGGACATCCCGAACTATCTGCTGGATGATCCGTTATATTTCTTCATCGTCTAGATGTATCTCCTAGATGTCCCGAACTGTCTGTTGGATGATAATCAATGATTTTGAACTAATTGTACATGACAATCAAAAAATTGTCCTAAATAATCAGTTTTATTTCTTCATCATCTAGATGTATCTCCAGGATGTATTAAACAATCTGTTGGACGATTATGTATGATTTTGAACTAATCATACAGGATGATGTACCTATTATCTTGGACGATCATAACAAATATTGTGTTCTAATTATACAACACACCGAGATTGTCCTGGTTGGAAGGGCTGAAATACACTGATCATATAGAAAGATATGTCGATCGTCCTGGACGATCTTTGATGGCATGTTGCAAATTATGATAAATTTTAAGGCCTTCTTTATAAGGTTTCTTATTTGTTAATGAGAGAATCTTTTACTATTGTCTTGACCTGAGAGAGCTTAGAGAAGGAGAGGGAGAGCTTGGGAGAGAGAGAATCTTGCGAGGTGGAGTTTATGAGTTGTTTACGAAGGTTGCTCCAAGCAAATATTCAAGTCATTTTCTCCAATTGTTGTCCTCAGCTCCTTGGTGGCTCTTGGGAGGTCTTTATCAGCACTAGATTAAGGTTTTCTATCTGCTTCAGGAGAGAGCAAAAGGAGTTGGGGTTCTCTGCGTGCTTCAGGAGGAAGCAAAAGGAGTTTGGGTTCTCTGTCTCATCGAAGTTAATGAAAAGGATTCTGTAAGGGCTTCTCCATCTTGATGTGGGAATAAAAGGAGAGACACTACTGTTTTAGTGCAATCCTCAGAGGGTGCATCCGAGGAGTGGACGTAAGTCAGGTTGATCGAACTACTATAAAATTTGGTGTGTTTTTCTTATTAATGTTCCACATTTGAATTTCTGCACTTTAATTTTTTATGGTTGATTGTATGGTTAAAATTTCTGCTTTGTTTTGTGATTCGCTTCTGCATCAAGGGTTGATCTTGTTTGTTTTAAAATATTCAAAAAAGGTTTCAAAAAGATTTTACTTTTTCTTTAAGAATTTTTAAAACCACCAATTCACTCCCCTCTTGGTTAACGTCAGGCTAGTTCATAAGGGCTTAACAATCCTAACGAACTTTCAAAGAGCATAAGCCAGTAACTTATGCTCATTAATAAAAGATATCTAATAAAATAATAATAAAACTATCACATAATCACATATTAATAAATTTATAATCAAAATTAATCAAGCATATTATCAAGATTTAATTGAACTTGTTCATCAACTTTAAATGATAATGTTCATTATCATAAACAAATTAAGAACAAAATTATTTAAACTTGTTTTTTTAATCAATCAAGCCTATATAAAAATATTTAAGCTCAATCGATTAGTTAATGACATAATGACAAATAAGCTTTAATCGAGTCATAACATAAATTATTTGTGTATATGTCATTTAGTTCTATCACTTTTATGATGATTTTTTTTTTGGAAATGCAAATTGCTTTAAAACAGGAAGAAAAAACTATTACAAGCTAAAAATTAAAAAAAAAAAACTAAAAAACTTCCATTTCCAAACAAAGGGAAAGGAAGCCCTAAAGAAAAGCAAATACAGTATAGAAAAAGTGTATATGCAAAATAAAAAAAGACAATAGAAATAAGATCCACTAATCCTCACTTTGAACCATTTGGGGTGTGACACCAAATTTTTAAAACAACCAAAAAAGATTGGTTAGTATCCCAGAGTTTCCAAGCAGATAAAAAGTAACAATTAGATAAAGTCTCAACTTCCATTACTCTAAAATCATAATGCAAAAACACAAAATTGATAAACTGAAAATCAAGAGGCCAAACATCCACCTTGTCATTACAGACACAAACCAACAAACTCATCAACGTAGTCAACCCACTGACAGACAAGAACTCTAAAATCTCCATTCCCTTCAAGTCTTCAACAATCACGACATGATCTTCAAATATCAAAGTAGAAGCATCCATTGGCTTAGTTGGGATATAATCCCATCTAAAGTCTTCACCAATGCGTCAACAACAAACATCTTGGATGATTCAAACAAAGTCGACAAAGCAATAACAACAGTTCCAACATCAAGAGGCCAAGATACGACCTCTACACTACTAAAATCATATGAAATGATAATCATCACCACACACATCACCATGGCAATCGAAAAACCAATAATATTCAATTCCTTCAAGTCTTCAACAAACAAGACTTGATCTTCATAGAACAAATAAGTAACATTCTTAAGCCTTGATGGGATAAGCTCCAACTTAAAGCTAGCTCCAATACGTCTAGGAGGATCAAAACAAACTTCCATATACGAACCAAACAACACTATATCAAACACTGCAATAACTCCGGCTTCACCAAACAAAGCCTTCCAAATAGTTGCATAACTAGCAGCAATCATAACAAAACCCGCACGAAACAAAACAGCTTCCTTAATAGTATAAGAAAATTTGAGTAATCTGTCCACAACCGAAGACAGCAAAATAACCAACAGGACTGCATTATCTCCAAGAATATTCAAAAATCCATATGAAACTGGTTCTTCTAAATAGAAAGATCCACCACAAATAAAAAACAAATTTTAGCCAAGAAAAAAATTTGTTCCAAGAAATATTGTAGGCAATGACGAGCTAACGAAAAAAACTCCTCCAAAAGCATACATAAATTAGTGTCAAATATAGATACCCAAATGCTAATTTTGAACAAAACACATTGTTCACTTCTTTAACTTCTATGAAATCATTAACAAAGAATTTGAGGACCAATTAGTCATAACTTAACAACTTTTGCTAAAAGTAAGACATAGGTTATAAATACTCACCTAACCCACAGTTTAAAACTGATGTGTTGTGCATTGCAATCTTACATTGGTATTTTAATTGTGTTAAAAGCGATAAATTGTATTATACTACATGCCCACTTCCCCTTATCCTTACAACTAAAAGCACTTTATTAAATAAAATATTTCTGAAAATCTCACCAAACTTTTTCCACATTTTAATAATTAATAACCAAGCCTTGATTTATGAACTTTCTTATTACTTTATATTTTAAACCAAAAATACAATATCTATTTGATAATTATTATTTTTTACTATTTTCAATAAAAATTTTATATTAGAAAATAATTTTCTACACTATCTTTAAAAAATTAGAGAGTCGTCTTAGATGGTTTGGTCACAAAAAACGACGACCTTCCGATGACCCAATTAAGAGAGTAGAGGTATTAGATTTGCCTTATATTAAGAAAGATAGAGGCAAACCTAAAAATGTTTGGTTAGAAAATATTATGAATAACCTTTCTTTATTAGATTTAAACAAAAAATTGACTTTTAATAGAACACAATGAAGAAAAAGGATTCATTTAGCCGACCCCACGTAGTGGGATAAAAACTTAATTTTGTTGTTATTGTTGTACTATTTTTAAAAAAATTATTTTTTCTACAACTTTACAAAACAATAACAAATCTATTCCAAATGAAACCTTAAGCTTCATTTAGAACATCTTTCTTATTGCTTTCTAAATCAATTTTTTAATGTAAAATTTCATAATTTAGATTTTTTTATACAAATTTATTTTAAAAAATAAAAAAAAATCATCCCAAATAAATCATATCTCTCAATACAACATATCTGAACTCCACTTAACGAACTCAACTAATGCAAAGTACTTACAATTAACTGCTTTTCACTAAAAAAAAAAAAAAGAATAAGGTGTTCCAATACACCTAGTCCCGTTCCAACGTACAAGGAGGCACAAAAAATTCATAAATTGTCAAGAAATGAACAATAAACGACCGGGTACATATTTTCTTATGGCTCATTTGGTTGCTTGGAAGTATGAAACTATCAAGGAAATATATACAAATATGTATACCCTATAAACCTTCGCAAATACCATGAGTTCAATTCTTTTTTTTTTTCTTTCTACATAAATAAGAATTTAACTCAAAACATAACATAATAAAGAAAATAAAAATTTATATAATCGACCACAAATCGTGGCATAAAAAATTAATGTTGTTGTTGTAATAAAATGAATTCGACGTAGTGGGATAAAGACTTGATGTTATTGAAGTAATAGTATAATAAAATGAATAAAAAATCATTATTTATTAAATTATGCTTTCTAACATCAAGCAACCAAATTAGACCTAAGAGAAAAATAGGTGAATCAAGGCTGCCTCCAAGAATAAAACAGGACTGATTATTCAGGAAACCAATCAAACTCTGATAACAAAATGTCAAGATAGCTGCTCCTAAACTGAAGAAAAATATCTGCTAAATGACCTCAGAACACCTTATTTGATTAACATCAATTGCTTACATACAGGGAATGTTGTTTATCAGGTAACCTTCAGCATAGGTTCTTGCTATTATTTCCTTCTGCAACAAAGAAAAAAATAAATATACAAATGCGGATTAAACAGCAAAGCGGAAATTTTTCTAGGAAAACATTCGAAAAGAAGGTAAAAAAAAAGTTTATGTTGAGGAAGCGTGCAGGGTTTAAAGATTCTGATTAGAAAAAATCTGCAGAGTTATGAACAAGGGGAAAGAAGTTTCGTTATATGCTAAAAGATGGAAAAAAAAAAAAACTCTTAACGAGTTACACTGACCATTAATAGTAAAATGCAATATAAATCTCCTGCATCTAACAAATTAAAATCATACGAGTCACTTTGTTCCTTAAGTATCCGATTTGCCTTGGTGAATAAACACATGCTCCTTGATAACAACTCTGATTATAATTTATAATAGCCAAACCCATAACCGATTAAAGTGGCCTGAGCCATCGAAATAGAATAGTTTGGCCAAAAAAAGACTCAAGAAGCCCTTACATCGTCTGATTAACTACAACCTTTTATCTGCATACATATTTAGTCTAACCATTTTTGTAATGTTTTTGCATCATAGGAAACATGTTATGCCTACCACAAGTAAACAGTGCATGTTGAATAATTTAAATTTTACATAGAACGCCTCACAAGCAACACAAGAACATCAATAATATCTAGGAAGTTTTTGAATTATTTCTCTAAAGCGTAAGAATTTTCTGATGCATATTCGTGGAAGGAATTATAAGAGATGTTTTTCACTACCTGAATTTGCGACGTGACAAGTCCAACACCCTGATATGCACATTGTTCAGAAGCAGTTAGTGTAAAAAGTCCAAAATCTGTCCAATCAAAATTGGGATTGAAATACACACCTCAAATCTCTTTGTCACCCAAGATACTTCATTCCAGCTTCTAAGGTGAAAATCTTTGCAGGTAGGAATTTGAATAGATTCGACATGCTGTACGAGTCTCAATCCGCCTACAAGAACAGAAGAAATGTTGAGTACAAGGTTAACTCTGTGGCATTTTGGAGATTCACCCTATTCAGCTCAAAATTGAAGGAGATCATTGTATTCGGAAAAAAAAACACTAGAACCATTGTAAAGATTATCAATTAATGATTGCCAAAGCAGGGGTGGAACCAGGATGGCTAGGGAGCACTCGCCAACCGAAAATTTGTCATCACCTTAATATTATATAATCCATTAAAAATTACAATTATGTTAATTCAAACATATAATTTATATTTTTAATTTATTATTTTAATTTATGATCTCATTTTTTTTTTAAATTTTTATTTTACATCATATGAGAGAGGTTTATAAATTAGAAATCAGATTTGCAAAGTATCATAAGGAAAATCAAAAAAACATCTTGAATGCAATATATTTGGTATCATTAATCAAATAACTTCAAAAACTAAGAGAGAGATGTGGGCTCCGAAAATTCGGCCTCGGCCTGCACTCGCTTTTCTTATTCGGTGAGGGAGTTTTAACGAACTAAGTTCCGGGGTAAATTTTGGAAGGCAGATGGGTTTGTAGATAAGACACTACCCAGAGATTTCGCCCTCATTTTGTGAGGACTTTATGATCTGAGTTCTGGTTTCCTATAGGCGCAAGCCCCTATAGTTAATTACCCCTCCCGATCACGAGGGAGAACTTTCAATTAAGGCTAGTCGTCAATCAGATACGTATATAATACGCTTGTATATGGCATAATAGTAGCAGCATGAATTTTGGGGATTTGAAATTTGGAAATTGGGTCTTGGAATTTGGTATTTTGAATGCTTGATATTTGAAAAATTTGAAGGTTTTGATTATTAAAAAAAAATAGAAATTGCAACCATCCTATACTTAAGGAATGTGGGGGAATGGATGATGGGCCCGATCAAGATCCTATGGTTCGTCTCCGGGCCAAATCGTGGTCCCTGGTCTACTTAGTCAGAGGAGGTGTCGACCCACCTGAAAAACGATCCTTGTCAGCCAGCCATGGGTTGCTTCGTCCAACGGGTACCTGTAGACCTGGGGCTGGGTATTTTGCCTAAGGGGGACAAAATTTAAATCCACCTTAGCTAACAGGGCTTTTATGCCCTATCGATCATATCCTATTGATTCATAATCTCGAGGATTTAACGCCAATTAAGAGCGTATTGGCTCTGGCTAACCGCTATCTGTGGTGCCATTTGCGGCAAAACCACTCGGTTCAGAGGGCCCCCGGGTCATAACCGTTTACACTGCATGCCATTTGGCGGCGAAACTGCCGGTTAGAGGACACGTACCACGTCCTTTTACTGCAAAGAGATTGGTTTTGAAGGAATGGATCTTCTAGAGATATTTTCTGACTAGGCATTTGCTCTTTGTGAGTATATTTATTTGAATTGTTCACCCTCGACAAACTGGTTTGGCAGGAGGGTGGATTTGGATTTTGGCTTTAAGTAAAAACGGATGGATGATTTCAATTTTAATATTTTGAAATTTGAGCTTTTTGTGGAGCCTTTTTGGATTTTGGATTTTTGTGGGTATTTTGGGTGGAGCTTGGAATATTTGAAATAGACTTTGGATATTTGGGAGACATTTTTAAAATATTTGGGAACCCCTTCTGGTTGAGATCTGCATTCAACAACGGCCAATTCAACGGGGTTGTTCGAGCCATTTCTCTTATGGATCAAACCTTGTCCAACTTTTGTCGGGCTGTTGACAGAGGATTGGGTTTCGTAGGCTTTTTGCCTTTATTAGTGAATTCATATTGTTGTAGGGCCTTGATGGCCTAATATGAATATTTTAGAGCAAATATACCAGTCGTACACAAACTTTATATTTGCTTAATGGTTCGATCCTGTCGACTTTCTATTGACCTGTATAGAAGGATCGTTCGAACCAGAGGTCTGAATTCACTCTGTCACCCGCGCAGCATCCCTAGACGTGTGTAACCAATAACACGCTCGTCGGGGCCACTTGCGGGTGTTGAATTATATACCCTCTTTTTAAGTGTATCTAAGGTGTACCAAACTCAGTGCATGTGCGAGGGTATTATTAAACATTTAGTTTTGAAATCTAATTGAGGCGAGCAAGCTTATCATTTGAATGCGACAACTCCCCTTGAAAGTTGTACCACGCCTCTGTCCGCTTGTAATGCATGTTGCGGATTCCGATGGCGTTGCGTGGCAAATTCTGAATAGAGTTGTTCGCTGCTTCATAACAGGTAGACTGTCGTGCACTAACTTATTGCTTCTCTGCGGTGAAATTTGTAATGCACTAACGAATCTCCTGCCTTTTTGTAGATGCTCGCATCCATTGTAGTTCTTTGGCATGTTATTCTTAGGTTGTAATGTAATATTCGTAGTGGAGCACCAGTAGAGCTCGTGGGACTTGTAATCTGTCGTATGCTTTTGCATTTGTTGTAGTATCTGTGCTCACGTAGTACAGTCCGCCACTGCGTGTATGTAGGTAGAAATAGATGTTTTCCTTCACATACTGGAATCGACTTCAGGATAACCTGCATTTACTGAGTCTTTCTGCATCTACCCATCAGTGGCCGGCATGTTGGCACGTACATTTCTTTTTAGAAAATCGAATGTGTTGCAGATCTTTTGGTTGTTATATATGAGTAAGGAGTCGGTACACCTTACAACTGTTCAATTCTAATAGTTCCAAAAATTTGGGACCCCTTTTGGGGCCTGGGGGATTTTGTCGTTCTACTATGAGCTCCTAGGAATGTTTTGTAGAAGAACATGCTCCTGCAATCAATCCACCTTTTCAACCAATCTCAGGTGGTGTTCTGAATGAATTTCAGTTTGCTTGTAAAGGGACGGCTCCTCCTCATTGGTCTCTCCGTATTGGCACCGGCTCATCACAGGCCAATCCTGCAGGGGTTGACGTAGGAGTTTGTGCATCAAGTCTTGGTAGCGCATTTTGAGTCACTGTTGAATCATATCGAATACCTCTTGTAGTTTGAGTTTCCTTGCACATGATTTCAGGCTTGAATTCATCAAGTCTACCAAGTCCCACTTTAATGTTGTTATAGCACGAGTTTCAAGTACAAACTCAGAGTCAAGTCTTGGTTCGGACTTGATGTCATTTGCTTGAGTTTGATTTGAGTCCTGATTTCATATTCAATCTGGTTGAGTTTCAAATTCCTAAAGTAGTCTTGAAAGTCCAGTCTCTTATCACTTTAAGTTAGAGTCTTTTATTTCCATTCGTTCAAGTATTGGTCAAAATACAGTTCAGACTCAAAATGAGTCCTCTTCTATCCGTCCGAGCCCCCTGCAGTCTGAGTCTTGTTTCAAGTTCATGCTCATTTTCATTTTGGATTTGATTTTCAAATTTTTGAATTTTCATTCCTGAATTTAGGGTCCCAGAGTCCACCGTTTCTTGGTTCATGGTGCTTTGGTTCTTGTTCTTTGAGTTCAAACCAGGTCCGAGTGTGGATCGTACATTCACGGCCGAATTCGGCAACGCTCCGGCCGTCTCCCCCCGTTTAGGGAAACTACGAGAAACTGGGCCTTTCCCACCACGCGCATAAAGGCGTGTAGGCAGGTGGTCCTCTGACGAGGACACCTCGCGGCCAATGATTTTTTTTGTCTCCCACCACGCGCAATAAAGGCGTGTATGGGGTCTTTGACGGTAACCCCTCCTGTTGAAAATGACACAATGTTGCTTTCCCCCACCTCGGGGTACTTATAAGTGACCCCGCCTCGCCGTAGTTGTGCACCGGGGTCCATCCTACCACGCGCCAATAAGGGCGTCTATAGGACGAACTTTTCGGTGCGCCAAGACCGAACAGCCGAAAGTAGAGTTTAGGCCCCCCCCGAATTTTTTTGGCCTTCTCGCTTCGTCGTAAGCATCAGACCGACGTCCCAAATCCTACGACGCGCAATAAAGGCATGCATAGGAGTTTTTCCGGTCTGCTGCAAACATGACGCGGGAAATCTGAGTTTAGAGAGTTCGTACCTTCGGGGTTTCGATGGTGGCGGTTTAAAAATGCACAGTTTGCTTTCCCCCCGCTCGAGGGTACTTAATGAGTGATAACTGCCTCGTCCGTGTGCCGCACCGGGTCCCTTTCCACCGACGCGCAATAAAAGGCGGTGTTATAGGGCGGTTTTCCCGGTGCGCCACGAACACCGATAGTAGAGTTTAGGTGTATTCCCGCCCTCGTCGTAGACGTCGGACTCGGGGGTTCCCAATCCCACCACCCACAAAAAAGGCGTGGTATAGACATTTCCGGTTTCCGCCGCACACAACGGAAGCTAAAATCTGAGTTTAAGAAGATCGCTACCTTCGCGGGGCTTTGGACGGTTGTCGAGGCTAAGGATCGAGGCAAGGAGAGAAAGCAATTTTTTGTTTTACGTTTATTATTTTATAATTATTACCTTTAGTATAATAATAATTAATTAGAATAATTAGGTTTTAATTTAATTTATAATTAATATATGTTAAATTAAAAATAATTATTAATATAATTAAACATAATATAATTAAATTAATTAATGGGTTAATTAATTATGAATAATAATATATTATTAAAAGATAATTTAATTTTAATTAATCTTTAAATTAATTAAAGATTAATTCACGATTAAATATAACAATCATAATAATTTTCATTATATCGATAAAATATTTTAATTAATTATGATGATCAAAAATTAATTATAATAATATAATTAATGTAATTATATTCAATTAATTAAATCACTAATTATATGATTAATACTAATTAATATTATTAAAATAATAATAATGAATAATATAATCATCAATAAAATAAATTCCCTTTCCCTCTAATTCACTTCTCTCGTTTTGGATGTTTTTAACGGGATTGCCGGAAGAGAGCACAGGAAAGGGAAAAGTACCTTCACAGCAATTGAGTCTCTCTCTGTTGCTTGTCCGATCAAATGAAGTGGTGAATCTTCCAAACCGACAAGGAAAGAGAAGCCGTCCGAGGAGCGAAGTCGCGGTAGCAGGATAGAAGGTAGGATCG